CTAAAAGAGAACGAACATTCCAGGCTGCCAGAGTGAGCGGACTCACCCTAGCAGTCCGGCGAGCTGGGTGGCGGAGAGGAGGAGGAGGATAGGGAGTTGTTTCTGTTTAGACCGTGAGTTTTGCGTCTGCGGTCTTGGTCAGCCTGCAGACGGCGTGGATCCCCAAAATTTGTTAAGGGCACCTTTTCTGGCCCCTTCCCCCTCGCGGGGGTGAGCAGTGCTCTCCCTAAAAACGGCTGCTCAGTTGTCGCAGACGGCTGTCGAATCCCACTATGAGTTGCGACTTTTGTTTATTGGGAGAACGACCCGAGTTAGCCTACGCCTACCTATGACATCGCCGTAGAACTTGAAGGGGGAGGGGGATGGGGAAGGGCAGAGAGATGGAATGCAGAGTTTTCGCGTCCTTCTCTAAGCGGACTTTTTGCTGAGATATTAGCCGTGAGCAAATAGATTCGAGAAAAACGGCAGTTAGCGCTCAGCGAAAACAAAAAAACAAGCAGACGAAGGGCAAGCAAGCAAGAACAAGCAAAAGCAGAAGCAGACAGGAAATTCGACGGGAGGGAATTTAGTTTACAACAAGGACAGAAACAAGAAGGCGGAAATGTGACCAATGGAACAAGAAATCTATTGACCTGACGTTTCGGATTCTCACTCGAATCCATCATCAAAGACAATCGCAGATAAGGGTAATGGTGGCACAAGGAGTGCAGTATTTATAGCACGTGGCTGCCGTAGGACCATATGCGTACTGTAATTACCAGCTCCCGCATTCACCGCGGGGGTCGTAATTGATGCGATGGCGGCTTGTGTGTCCGCGTTCGAGTCATTAATTGCCATGATTTCGTCATCAGTGTTGGATGTTGGTGACGTCGGCTCGTAAAAAATTGGCTCACTGTCGCCGGGATAATGGCTCGTCCGCGCGCTCCCCACGTGACTGATTTCCCTGCCCAGGGAAAATCTCAGCACGGAATATGGTAACGGGAGGTCGCTGCGCTTGCGGATGAATTGCGGCCCTGAGAACTATGACTCGAGCAGCTCGCAGCTCACGCAGTTGTCTCCCCTTGCGAGGATTTCGGCCTCTTGAAACTTGAAAATATGGTCGGGTCCCATCGAATGAGCCGCCACCTGAGAGCTAGTGTCTCCCCGCCTCACTGCTGCTGTGTGCTTGGCAATTCGCGTCCGGAGTAATCTCCCAGTTCCTCCGATGTAGCAGCTTTGTCCGCATATTTACCAAATCCGGTAACCGACTTCTGACGTTTCCTGCCGTGGCAGTGGCTCTTTCGGCCTCATGACTTGGAGCCTTGTTGTTGCTTCCGACCTGTGTGCAACCCCAACTCCAAGTGGAGTGAGAAGGCGACTGACGGCTTCCAAGACGTTCTTCACGTACGGAAGAGCCCGCCAAATTTGAGGCTGGATGGACTTGATCTCTGGTATCGTTTTCGTATGCACCGGTTGACAAATTGGCGCGAGTAACCATAGGCTCTCAGTACCCGACATAGATATTGTAATTCAGCAACCTTGTCTTCCATTTTACTGCAGTGCGTCTTAACGCGCTGGTATAGAGCCCTTACGCAACTGCGTTTGTGACTGATTCGGTGGTTGCTGTTGAAGTTCAGTATTTGCGTCGTATTTTTCGCTTTCCTGAGCACTTTGGTATTTAGGTCACCACAATCTTTTCGGCAGACGAGGACATTCATGAAGGCCAGCTGGTTTTTTCTTCCTCCATCGTAAATTGAGTGTCCGAGAAGATGGCGTTGAGATGTTACTTGAATGTTAGCACCTGATCCCGTTCGATGAGGACGAAGGTGTCATCCACATACCGACCCCAGAATTTCGGTCTGTGGTGTTGAAAAACCAGCCGCTCCAACCATTGTAGGACCGCCTGGGCTATGAGCCCCGAAATCGGCGAACCCATTACCGTCTCTTCACCTGCTCGTAAATTGCTCTGTCAAACGTAAAGTAGTTTACAGTCAGAACTTCAGGAGCTGTATTATTTGGGAGTGTCCGAGGCGATTCACCGTTTCTTCGTATTTCTCTTGTAGGAGCAGTTCCATGGTCTCGACTGCTAGGTCCTGCGGGGTAGAAGTTAAAAAGGACGTGATATCAAAGGAAACTATGATATCGCTTGGCAGGAGACTTACTCCTTTAAGTTCCTCCAAGAATTGTCTTGACGGGCTGACCGTGGACGTCGAATCGGATGTCAGAAATTTGATACGTCGAAACAGCCACTTTGCCAGTCCGTAGGTTGCAGTGCCCTTTAGTGATACGATAGGCCGGAGAGGAGCGCCCTCTTTGCGTACTTTTCGGAGACCGTAGAATCGGGTTAGGGCCGTTTCTTGGGCTCTCGCCATGCGTCAGTCGATTGGCGATATTGCATCTGAGTTTTCCATTGCCAACAGTGTCGCGTTAATCTCGCGTGTCAGGGTTTTTATGGGGTTGGATTCGCATAGGACGTAGGACTGACGATCCTCCAACAAAATGTTGGCTTTCTGATTGTAGCCTGTCCTGTCCAATACGACCGTTGAACGCCCCTTGTCCGCAGGCACGATAACGAGGTCGTTGTCGGCCCTGAGTTCCTCAAGTGCATCGCGCTCTACCTTGGAAAGCACGTCGCGCGGCCTATGAGCCATGAGGAGGGAGATAACTTGGTGTCGAATGAGGTTTTTCTTTTCGTCTGTTGCTCCAGTCTGGATGAGGATTGATTCCACTGCTGTAGTCATGTTGGCAGGTTTGGCCTCGACTGTGTTGACTGAACCCTCATGCCTTAACACCTACATCTGTTCCACCGTCAGTTACTTTGACGACAAGTTGTGCACCACTTTGTCGTTCCTGGGTAACCTTGGAGCAGGTAGCTTACGAAATTTGCTTTCTAGGGCTCTTTCGCGTGTCGCTCTATGTTCACGGGTTCGTTCGGCCAGCCTTTGCTGATGCAGTTTTGTGCCGTCCTCGCCCATGAACTCACAGCACCATGGTTTCTCTTGGTCAATTCTCGGACGGTATTTACGAATCCTTGAGCGACAGTCTTGAAGGAACACCCGTATCATTCCTCGGCCGCGCTGAATTACTGCGCGTCCCGCCAGCTCTGTGCTAACCGGTGGTTTGTATGAAACACACTTTGGCAGCACATTGTTGTCGAGACACCTGTGCAGAAATCCAATCTGCGCTTATGTAGACGACTCTCGAAGGGCAAAGGTTTCCCACCGTCGAGCCGATCGGAGCGCATCGCGCCCAAAATGATTGCTGATAGAAGCAAACAGGCGAGTTCCAGATAGCAGTTCAGAAGACGAAGATGCGATCACTGGGACAATAAATTTATTGGACTGACGTTTCGGATTGTCACTAACCCATCACTAGAGACAGCCGCAGATATGGGTAATGATGGCAGACACAAGACAAGCAAGAACAAGCAAAGCAAAGACGGAAGAGCAGTGTTCGCCTACCTGGGGCTCACTTACCTTGTGGCCTCCTGCGGTGTGGCAGATAGAGTCTCGTCTCGGAGATACCGAGGTAGTGATTCATCCGGCCAGCGGAGCCGAGTTTCGTGTGCAGAGATGCACATACGGATACCGTCATCTAGTTTAGTTCACCGGTCGTGGCGGTTATCGGAGTGTGGCCGCTAGACAGAGCCTAGCATCGAGGATCCACAGGTGAGAGCTGGGTGATAGGAGATTGACGCTAGGCGTAGTCAGTATCTACAATCAAGCGGACAACCTACTAGGACCGTCACGTGGACCCACAACTGGACAGCCCTACACCCCTGCTGTCCTATTGGCCTTGATCGTACTGACTCGAGGGACGCGCACAGATCGCTTCGCGGAACCAACTTGTCTCCTTGTGTCCGGAGGCCCTCTGTCGCATTTTGGCCGGCAGCCGCACCGCGAGGTTCAATAAATGCGTAATATATGTCAAAACCCACAGAATCATCTATGGCTCGATTCTACGGTTTGCCAAAATTATAAAAGTCGGATATCCCCTCTGACTAATTGTCTCACTCCAAGGCACACCCATTCACGGGCATGCAAACTGGCTATTCCAGAAGCTGAGGATCCTAGCCACGGGCTCACAAACAACAGTGCACTCAGCAGAGCAATTTCTCGACAAAATAGTGGCAGTGAAAATCGCATTAAATATGAGAATTGTGCCATCTGATGTAATCTCACTTCCTACGTCCATAACACAGGTCTTGGTGGTCGAAAAGCTCAGTGATCTTCTGCGTCAAAGTTATGATGAGGACGACAGTTCAAGATCTCGTAGACCTCCCGAGGCACTGCCATAAGACGTTCTTTACCTCCTAAGTGGTCACATATGAGCAACCGAAGGGCACTCCGATGGTTCACTAATCTCCGAAATCATTGTTGAGACGGTTCTGTAAAAACCGGAGAGGCGGCAGTTCGAGGAATCTAAACACAAATTTTGGATGAGTTACGTTGACGGCGGGACAAAATTATACATTACGGAAAAAAAGTAGCTCGGTCATTCCTGAGCTACATTTCACGAGGAAAGTAAAGTTGGAGGGCAAAATCCCATTCTTGGGTTTTCTCGTTTGCCGCCAGCCGGACAGCAAACTGACGACTTCGGTCTACAGAAAACCGACGAACGCGCTGCCGATGCTCACTTACAAACGACCACCCTCCGCAAAACAAACGAAAATATTTACGTACACTATACCGGCGGGTGGAAACTCATTGCAGCACGCCAGTCGCCAAAATGGACGGGAGGAAACCCCTCCAAGAAGTCTTCAGAGCCAATGGCCATTCGCGAGCTTCCGTTGAACGGAGCCGGATGCGGCAAAGGAAACGGAATAAAGAGTTGATCCAGGCAAAATCAAGACAGAGCATACTGTACATGAAAGGGGTCTCTGAAACTGTGACTAGATCATTTGCGCCACTCGGAATAGTTGCTCAAAGGCCTTATTCAGTAATTCGCCAACATGCGATGTGGCCAAAAGATCCTATTCCTGAACAGGAAATACCTGCCGTTGTGTACCGGACCCAGGGAAGCTGTGAGATGTACAACTGCGTTGGGGAAGCCGGCCGACTTCTGCAAACGCAAATACACTGGCACAAGTTGACTGTGCGAAGGTTAGACCCAAAGTCGGGAGCAGCAACCAATGCCAGGGAAATGGGATACATCTTTAACTTTGACGGCGTTGAGACTATGGGCTAAGGCGAAGATCATACATCAAGACAGGTGAAAGAATCCTGAATATCCATCGACAGCTCTGTCAACCGTCACATTACTTTGCCTCCTCCCTATCTGGTTTTACGAACCTTCTTGACGGGGGGAGGGGCAGTCACGGCGCGGATCAGTCGGGGCCGCCAGGTCGCTCCGCAGTCGAGGGAGGGGGCGACACAGGTCACGGTGAAATGCGGGTCGGATGCAGCCACACGCGCGACGTTGGCGGGCCACGTGTCAGCAAGGTGTGTCATAGGATGAGGGCTGTGCGCATGAATTTTTAGACCTTGGAGGTGGGTAGGTGAAATAACTACTCGAAACACCAGACCCCCACTAAACCTCGCCCGGTGAACTGCTCCCCTTCTTTTGATATAAAAATATCATGGGAGACTGGAATGGCTAGTTCTGGCCTGCTAGCCGCTATCAGCTGGCCACATCCAACCTCGAGGTATGCAATTCTCGAGGTTCGAACTCGCGACCTTTTGATTTGCATGATCTACCTGGCTTGTATGCTGTCACCAGCTAGCTATACCCGCCCGTACGGTATGCAACACCAGAGGCTCGAACTCGTGGCTCATATTACGCGCCGTTATGCAACAGCTGGCGTGGCCCGAGAGAAAACCCTAAGGCAGAATGGGACGAGTGAGTTCAGTAGCGCGATCGGTGCGCGTCACTCTACCATTATTATAATACTCAATCGCAATCGACAGGACAACGAACCCGTGGCTCAGTGGTTAGGACGTTGGACGTCTAACCAAAAGGTCGCGAGTTTAAGCCTCGGACGTTGTGTGCCGCGTTATGGAGTATGACTAGCTGACGAGAGCCACCAAGTCAGAAATGGCCATCCCAGTCATCCTAGTATGTGAAGGTAGTGTATTCACTTATATTTAGAGTTGCGAAAATTCCCATTGAAGAATTCAAAAACAAGCTGGCGAGCATACGTGAGCTTTCGATAAATTCTCATCAGGCCTATACATTTATCTTTCTATCAAAGTGATTAAAATAAAATGCGGGCAAGCAGATGTTTTTCTGTAGCTGGAGTTTGGGAGGAGGGTCTGGGTGGGTGAGGTGAAAAACAAAATTATCGTCAGTGTCCGAAGGGGGGGGGAGAAGGGGATGGCAGGGACTGGGACGGGTAATTATACGCATGTGGCTGGCATGGTGGCTTTTGCCCATGGTAAATGTGGGCCTGTACGAAGTTCCTTTGTGCGCATAGAACTGGGTTGTATAGCCTGATTGCAGCCACCTCTGTTGTTGCCAACAGATGTTGTCCAAGTGGTTTTGGATAGCTTGACGGGACCTTGTAAATCGGCATCTACACAGTGATCTGTGTCTACCATGTGGGCGAGGATAGAGCTGTTGACGCTCTTTATTTGGCCCTTTCCTAACCATGCAGGAAGGTGTTATCTTATTCTTTTGGACAAACGCCGACTCGTGCGACCATTATATTCTGCCCCACAGGAGCAGATGAAGGAGTAAATATACATAGAAGTGGTATGGGCTGGCAGTTTGTCTTTGCTCTCTCGCTTGGCGCGTCCTCTTGAAATGGGACTCCGATGAAAAGCTTCTTCTTTTCTGCTGACAGCGTCGGGAGTTTTTGTGGTCCTTCGGTCATATACCTGGCATTGAATCGATCGAGGTACCCGTTCTGGCTAAAGAGATTTTCGGCAATCTTAAGTTCTTCCTCAATGCTATTAGCCGAGTAGATACTCATTACTCTTTGTGTCAGACATCGGGCTAAATTGCGCTTCATATTTAGCGGTACGATAGCAGTATAAGCGTATAGGCCTGACGAGAATTTATCGAAAGCTTACATATGCTGGCCAAATTATCTTTTGAATTCTTCAATAGGAATTTTAGCGACTCTAAAACAATCCAAAAATTCCGTGGTTTTAAAGGCGCTCAATGGGTACCTACGGTTCAACACCAATTTTGTGGAGATTAGAGTAAGGACTGGGTTTATCGGAGAGTGCCTCAAGCAGCGGCGGTCATCGACTCCCATTCGCATTACGGTTGATGGGAATTGTCTGCATGTGCCATTACGCGGCTGCTCATTTGTGTACGCGGTCAATTCCCTGATCTATGATTTTAGCATCCCGGATTGCGAACGTGTGCCCAGTGTTTGAGGGGCTTTCCGCCTCTAGAGGCAACGAGTCCATTCTGCTCGCTATCCGCATATGAGGCCTAACACAGGTCTAAAGTTATTTTCTGCCCCTGCGATGTTGAGAACTTCGTAAGAGCTAAATTGGATTCCATGGTTGACCTTCGTTCTTTTCCATTGTGACAGAGAAGACCTGGGTCTCGTAAACAGTGGACTACGGTCGATGGGTCGTGCCGATCCTCAAGAGTCTTTGGGGGCGGGAAAGTACCAAGAGATACCGTCAATGTGTGGCAACGTACGTCAGACTTTTGGCTGTTCTGCCACTGCACTTTGCCACTGCCTGGGCTGACTGTCACGCTGGATGCAGTTTCGGGGATATCAGTTGGCCGTCAGGAGGATGTACCGGCGGCGAAGTCCTATCCTTTTGTCTTCCGGCTAACTGCA